AATTAAACTAGTTTATTCTTTCTCGATACAACTTTGTAATACACAAAATTTCCACAGTCACTTTAAACTTAACAACCTTTATAACACACGCTATAAATAACAGTGATTCACACACTTTACTTACGGTGCCTACTGTTCGCTTGACTCAATTATCTCTATATTCAATCTATCTGCATATCTCTTCAATCAATCATCTATGCAATTGCGCTGGTTTTTGTCGCCAGGTTTATATACTAAACAAGAGGGCGCCTCGAACAAACTCGAACCTCCCCGATAATTCATGATCCTTCCAGAAACTCCAGCGCGCATGCTCCCAGAGTCACGCGACTTCCGCTGTCGCAATAATACCGCATCTTCTGCGTCATGTAAATAAGGCTTACAGAAGATTAGTACAGAATATACCGCATTTTTTGCTGCGTTTTGAACGTAAAGCCACTGTCTTAAAGTTGTGAGAAATGACAGTATTGATTCTAGCGGGAATTGTGAACTGTTCAATCTTCTTTTTGGCTCTTATTGAGAAAGCTCGTGGCTATTCTGATAGTTGTGACGAGAGGTGTACTTGAGATGTGGTACAAGGGACCACGTGGTTAAAGACCAACCTCTAAACTGTGGCAGGTGATCATGGCCACTCCTATCTAACAGTCTTTTCTGCGAAAGTAGCCACATTTATTGCGCCGATGTATAATTACAAAATCTTTCTTTGGTTGGCAACTAGCCTGATGACTGACACTCAACTCTGTTTTCAACTAAACCTACGTTTTTCTAATATTCGTTTTATACCAAACGTGCTTCGTTCAAATTAAAGTTAACTTTTCATAAAATAACATTTCATTGCTATAATTTATCATTCATGTCCATCAGAAACAAACACTTCCTTTCGCCGGGAGAGATCTATTTAACAAAGTGTAATAAAACTCCAGAGTATAAAACCGAGAGGGAGCTTATTCTGTGTCTATTGTATTATCAAAAATGTAGTTAGTACATTATAAAGAGGTTATATTCCTATAAATGTTTTTTGTGCATTATAAAAAGGTTATGTTCCTATACATGTATTTGGTACATTATAAACAGGCTAGAGTCATATAAATGTGTTTAGTGCATCATAAAGGGGCTATATTCCTATAAATGTATTTGGTACATTATAAAGAGGTTATATTCCTATAAATGTATTTGGTACATTATAAAGAGGTTATATTCCTATAAACGTATTTGGTACATTATAAAGAGGTTATATTCCTATAAACGTATTTGGTACATTATAAAGAGGTTATATTCCTATAAACGTATTTAGTGCATTATAAAGAGGCTATATTCCTATAAATGTATTTGGTACATTATAAAGAGGCTATATTCCTATCTTTCTTTCATTTAAACGTATGGACAGGGTATAACAAATTTAATACAATGTGTTATAAAATGCAAAGACTTACCCTATTGAATCCAATATTCTCAATGATACATGGGATGTCAACATCTCGGCCAACTGGTACAGAGATGTTCGGAAGAGGTTCGGCGAAACTCGGTAATAGTTCGTCACACCTTACTAAGAAAAACAGCATTCTTATTTTTCAAACATTTTAAACAATGTTCGTTGTCTATATATGATATGATTAATATATACAATACATTCATGGATAGTGTAATTAATTTTATCAATAAGTTGGCATATGTTGTTACATAATGAGTTATATTACTTTTCTAGCTTTAAGATACAAGTTTTTACCTACAAAAAACAATCTTTATATGAAGTACTAAGCTTAGTGGTCCAACGATTCTGTGAGAGCAGCTACTTGACTGATTGTAGTCCATATAGTTGCTTATTAGACCTAACGTGTTTTCTTTATTGACCATTGCAGATTGCTAGGTTTGTGACTAGTTCTTATTCACATGTTTTCAGTATATGGTTTATTTTAACGTTCTATTATTCTTTCAACAGTTTTTAAACAAATTCACTATCTACAAAATTCAAGGTTTTTTTGTTCCTTTACCAACCCGACAAAACTAAAAGATTATTTCGTTCTCTACCCTAAATCTCAAACTTATAATTAACTAAATGTGTTTTAAAAAGTAATAAAAGTAGAAGGTAATAAGGAAAAGTACGAATTTTTCGGGTTATTTTCTTCATGCCATTTACGTGTGCTATATTTTTTTCCAAATTACCAATAAAAGACATTACATAAAACAAGGGACGTACGTCACGTGTAAATGTTTCACGTACTCGATGAAGGCTTCAAATGTACGAAGAGCCATTATGTATGTACGTGATGACGTGGCTCATGTATAGGAATATTTCACATATACTAATACAGAGTAGATATGATTCAGGTGAACAGAAGCAAAAAAGGGATTAATCTTACTTTATAAAAATGACTTGTGTATGCTAATGCAGTAGGACGATGACACATGGGCGACATGTTTAGCACCCACCTTTGTTTCACGAAGAATTATATTTGCGATGCTCCATGGTTAGTCTAAAGATCTGGTGAAACTATTTGAACATATTCATTATGAATACGCACTACTGCCAGACATAGAGGACAATGTTTAACCATACATCTTCACAACCTTTCTACATGCAGGTTCTCCAAATACTAGTCGACGGAGAGACCAATCTTTAACTATACATCTTCACAACATATCTACATGCTGGTTTTTCCGAATAGTGCCCGACGGAGAGGCCAATCTTTAACCACATATTTCCACAAACTTTCTTTATACTGGTTCTCCAAATAGTGCCCGACGGAGAGGCCAATCTTTAACCTCAAAACTTCACAAACTTTCTACATGCTGGTTCTCCAAATACTGCCCAATGGAGAGGCCAGTTTTTAACCTCAAAGCTTCACAAATATTCTACATGCTAGTTCTCTAAATATTGCCCGACTGAGAGGCCAATCTTTAACCACATCTCTTCAAAACCTTTCTATATGCAGGTTCTCGAAATATTGCTCGACATAGAGGCCAATCTCCTCTGCGCGTTGGCTTCAGTTTCCAAGGCCACGTTTCGGGAAACTAAAAACACAAAAAATCCACTTGAACAGCATCGGGAAGGGAAGCAAGACTTGTTAGGTAAGTGTTCGAAAGGAATTAGTTTGATTTTATTTTACTCAACTCTTTTGCTCAAGAAATCAGTAATTTATTTCAAAATATTACTGGAAGCTTGTGATTTTACGACTTTTTTGTTTGAAATCCTATTTTATTATCTTATTAACAGTTTTAAGAGATATGTCTTGGTTTATCTGAATAGGCCAGGAGCTCTATTTCGGGAACACAGCCTTCGCTTTATGGATAAGAGCGTTGCTCCGGAAAACTTGGGGTGTGAATTAAGTGCCTGTTGCTGTTGTAAGCACTCTGTTAGGAGAAGATTGAAGTCTCTCTTCTACTTTTACAAACGATGTCGCTATAGAAATATCCTTCAGTGGAAATGGTTGTGAGATATTGACCCAACCATAATTATCCCTAGCAGAATTGCTTTGTCGAATTCGTGAATTCGCCATAAACCAAATGTATAGGTACTAAACATGTCGCTACCGACATATATATAAGTCGTTTATACATAACAAACTTTAACTCTACGTACATTCAATGTTATCTGTGAGTATCCTATGTCATATTGTATTGTTACGACAGCAGGGGTCACGAGACGCTAGTAACACGTCATATTCTCGAAGGTTCGTGAATGCTCGAGCGTTTACTAGATTTCGGTATTCTTGTACATATAAGACGGTCAAGATGTGACGGCAGCAATGTGTAATTGAGCTGCAGACAGAGATAGAGACTGACAATTGAGTCGAGCGAGCACGTGAGACGTTCGTTGTGGATTATAGCGTTTGTTATAGCGCGATTGTGGAAATTAAGTGTATTGCAAAGTTGTATTCAGAAAGAATAAACCAGTTTTATTTAAGAAAGGACATCGCTAAAGTTTCTTCTGAAAGAATTTTTACGGAAAATTAACTAACGACCAGAGGCGTAACAGTATTGAAATAGTATTAAATCCAGAATATACCAAATGCATTAAGCTTTATATATATTACTTATATCATTCATATGTATATATATATATCCACTTTATGTAATTTGTGAACGTGTCAACTCATGGGGTGGTCAGATGCAGTAATAAATAACAAGTAGATTTAGGCCTGATGCAGTAATGAATAACAAGTAGATTTAGGCTGATGCAGTAATGAATAACAAGTAGATTTAGGCTGATGCAGTAATGAATAACAAGTAGATTTAGGCCTGATGCAGTAATGAATAACAAGTAGATTTAGGCCTGATGCAGTAATAAATAACAAGTAGATTTAGGCCTGATGCAGTAATGAATAACAAGTAGCTTTAGGCCTGATGCAGTAATGAATAACAAGCAGATTTAACATTTATAATTTAAAACGTAGATCAAGCTTTCAGAATATGTTAAAGACAGAGTATTCGTTTTATAAACTCATTCGTTGAAGGCAATTAATGCTACACTCTATCTAGATTGTAAGCTTTTATATAACTATCGATAAATAAGTGTTATTAAAATATAAAATCAAAAGTTCCATAACTCATTTGCCTTAAAGCGTTAAATTAATTAATGACCAACGACGTTTTGATAATGATTTATAAGTCAATGGCTACGCCATATTAGTGAATTTGTTTATAACAGCTTCAAACCATCGGAACCATTATTAGCTAAGACTTGATTAAATTTCTTAACATCTTCTGGAAAAGAGAATTTAATTAAAATATTTTATCTTATTTGTTCACATTTTTATGAATCTATAACATAATTAAAAAGTCTATATTTTATATCATTTTGTTTATCTGAAATTGTTTTGGTTTTTCGTATCTTCGGTTTCTTTCTGAAGGAAACAAGACAGAAAAAGAAATGAGAATTTATTATATGAAATATTCCTTAAGTATGATATTTGAATATTTCCTAAGTAGATTAATTTACTCTCGTAGAAACGTAAAACACATTGTTACAGTATTGAATATTTATTAAAATATATTGTAAACACGTAGCTAAGCTATATGTTGTTGCTAAACTAGAATACGTGATCAACATTATTACAGTACTATCTATCTATATATGTATACATAAGTACATAAGTAAATATATGATATAACTTACAATTTATTTATTGTACATGCAAATGTACGCGCCAACAAAGTTCCAATATAACAATGTAAATTATACCATCTGTACAAAAGTACAAAAGGTACCATTTTAAAGTGAAAATGTCTGCGGTTTTAGCTCCCAAAAGCATGGGGATATTCCGTCTATCAGACATAATCAAAACAACAGATGCAGAGCTAATAATGCTTGGAGACGGCTTGAATGAGTAATGAAGAAAAACTTTAATATAACTTTAACATAACAGCAAATGTACAACCTTTCGACAAGGTTTTGTCATCATCAAAGCTAGTCCGCATGTAACCGGAAAAAAAAAAGGAAATTATGATCTGATTGCTAGAACCCACAACGTCCCAGATCCCATTATCACTCACCATCTACAGCCGGTTGTGGGTATGATAGTTATCCCTAAAAAAAAACATAAACATAGAAATAAGATATTAAACCACCCTTGATTTCTATCATAGATCATCCAACCTTCTCCTTAGTATATTCACTCCGATATTAAATTACGAACTCTACAACCCGACTGTACAT